ACACGGGCTTTAGTTTTGGGTGTCACGATCGCGTGGTCTTCTAAGTGGCTGACGTCTCATTCGTCTGCTAAAGCCTTTTTTGTCCGTTGTGTTTTCGCCAACTCTTCTTCTCAACTTGTGATGAGCCACAGGGTGGTGTGTTGTCTCCTGTTCTTTTCAATTTTATGTATACCAACAATCTTCGTGGCCTCCCATCATGGTTATGGTGTTTCAGCAGATCAAAACTGCACTTGTGCTGAGCTGGCGAAAATAAAGGGTTAGGTTAATAAAAAGATTCTGTCTCATCATTTTTTTTCAAACTCAGAATTCACTGAGTTTTTCAACGACTTGCATGTAGCCAGTTTGAAAGAGAGAAATTATGCGCTTCGTAAATGCATGCAGCACGCTTCCCAGTGCGTACACGTCGCATGGATAGAAGCGGCAGGAGAAAATCACATAGATTTTACATTTTATATTCTACAAATCACATAGATTTTACGAATCACATAGGTCTGGGAAGCCTCCATAGATGTAGCTGGGCGCCTGAGAAGGAACGGCGCGAATACGTGTCGCCCCTTTGAAGTGAAAGGGCGTCCATTGAGGGTAGGACAGGAAACGGGCCCTCCATGCCGCTAATAGGAACGTCATTTTGTTATCTTCCATATTTTCTTCTCTCTGACGAAGCCCGCTAGAATGGGGCTCACTTGCAGGCTCCGCTTTGAATTGTTGATTGTGGAAATCGAACTTCTCAGGTATTGTATACGCCACCAACTCGCTGCGCTGCGTGAGCAGCGTCGCTACTCGCTGCTTCCTGACTACTCCTTATCTGAGGCATAATCCAGCGGTGGTGTCAGGGCGGACACCACGGATAAATTGAGTTCTGACGGGCTAAGCGCAATGCAAGAAAACTTGGCTTGGTGGCTGAAGTTAAGCATTCTGTTCTTGGGCTGGAGTCCGAAATCCACGCCGGTCGATATCACCGCATTGACCTCTGCCAGTGAAAGATCATATTCCTCCCTGGACATCTGGGCAGCTGCTCCACTTGGCTCTGGTGCCAAAGATGGATCCGCCGTATTTGACATCTGGTCCAATGTGGAGAGGGGGAGGGGTCTTCTAAGATGTCCAAGTAACTCGAATTAGGATAAGGCGGATCACGATTGTAATTGCAGTACTGACCCGATCTTCAGTCTTCCGAGCTCGCTTTGAACCTGTCGCGGTCGCTGAACTGCGGAAATGCGGTAACGCAAAAAATGATCTTCCTCGATTAATATCGATTGACG